ATTTGTACATATGTTTTCTGTTTTGTATTTAATAAACTACCGATGCAGTGCCTTATGATCCTATCATCACCCTGCCCTCTTTTTCATCACTTGCCTTCTCTCTTCCTGTTCTTTCACCATCTTTTCAACCTCCAGGTCGTACCTTTGAGTGGAACCAGGAGGCAGCCCCTTCTTTCAACTAGTAGTAGTATAAATGTCCGATACAAATCGAAAGTCACGTTATTTCAATTCAAAAATTTTCCCCTGAAAGATGCTAGATGACTGGCACGACTCTATTGCTAACGGAAGAGTATGATGTACAGGGGCAAGCCCTTACTAATTTGAGATGGAGAGCTTATATTTTAAATTAAATTAATTAAAAATATGATTAAAGATTGCAGCCCGACGTTGTGACGGTGTCATAATACAGTGGTTCCCAACCTTTTTTCATTAGCGTACCCCGTGACATGCCATATCTCTAGATTGTACCCCGTGACATGTCATATCTTGGGGGTCGACTGTATAATATCTTTACGAAACTTTGCTGTTTAGACTAGCATCATCGCTATATCGCAAAACTCGTCTTTCTGTAACTCGTCATCTTTTCTGTCCACATTAAGTCTAGTTTGCGAGTCTCTATTCTATTGGATTCTGAATATCGACAGGAATATATTTGTACCCGTCTGAGATCCTAAAATAAAAGTCGTTTTAACCAATGGTGGAATGGATAAAACCGCCAAATACTAGGTCGTGGTTTCGCGCCTTGACAACGGGCTGGACACGTGGAGTTTTCCTTGTGTAACATCTAAATAGGGGTCAGTTTCCCTTAGAAAATCCTTCCGGGAGGCATCGCATCTCCCTTTGTCAGATCGCCCACTGTCACGTTGCGGTATACAAATAAATTGTTTTAAACACTTTTGAAACTCCAGCCCAATCTCTTCAGTGACATTACATAGATACAAAAGTAGAACAAAAATATTAAAATGAACTTCAGGCCATATCCGTATATGCCCATGAGTTAATACGGTCCTGTCTGAAAATTTGAGGCCCTAGGCGAAAGTTTAGATTGACTTTGCTTAAATCCGTCATTAGTTTCCCTTATAAATACAATGAAATGTTCTTACACCTACCGTCGTTGCAGGATTTACTATTGTATAAGCTAAACAAGCTACAACCTCCATTCTCAAAGACAATTTATACATATTGACAATATCGACAGTTTATTCGACTGAGAAGGAAGGACATGATGTACGTTGTAGTGGAGGGCTAACCTGCTGTTTTCATTTCTTTAAAATCTTATGACCTTTTACGAAAATATTCTATTCATCTAATCAATAGAATAGAGTGGATGGAGAAATAATTCCAAGATCGATGCCAATTCGAAAAATAAATGATCAGTGTGAATTAATGAAAATCGAAAAATAAATTTAAATAAATAAACATTAAAATTTTGTTTTTATAATTATAAAACCCACAATTATTATAAATAAGGTAAGTAATATTTTCTTCAATGTCTCTGTACATCCACTTAAAGCCATTGAATTGTATAATTTCAATTGAAGCGAGAGTTAGGGGAAAAAAAATAAATCAAACAAAAGAATACAATTGGCATCATCCTCATTAGAAGCGTGTGAATCACTAAAAGGAATCAGTAAAAGAATGATGTATCTCTCTCTCTTTCTTTGTTATTTGCATTTCCGCCCTTTCTTGCCTTTAGCATAAACTGACAAATTTTTGTATGGCTGTCAATTCATTCGCCTTTGAAAATTGTTAGCCTTCTCTACCGTTTGTTTATCATTAGTGTTATAGCAAATAAAATTAACATCAGTACGAGTTAAACTTTAAAAAGTTTCTAACAATTTTTAAAATTATTTTTAAAATTTACCTCCATAAACACATTTCGTTCTGAATAAAAAATGAATAAATTACGCGCTAAATGAGCGCAATGTCGCACCGTTGCGTCGCAACGGCATAAACAAAATTCGACTTATTACTAAAAATTATAGCTCAAAATTGATTTATAATTTATTTAAATGTTAAATTGAAATATTAAATTTACTTCATTTCAAAGGTATCGGTAAAAGTCCACAGGGCAGACAGAGGACGCCTCCAAGCCGACGATGTCAACAACAATTTTCCATCCTGAAAATCATTTATGTATAAAAATTTTTAATTAAAACTGATTCCAATACCACGCATTAAATTATTAACAATGTTAAATTTCAACTGAATTATAAAAAAGCATTTAATATACAGAAAGGTTGAAAAATTGCAGCAGATTACTAAGATTCTGAATGGAATAACAACATTTGAATATTATTTTAATATTGTATGGGGGAGATCACNTTGTGATTGTTGCAAGGAACATTATTTATCTAATAATTTTTTAATACTATTAGTTTGTGATACATAATATATTATTTTTTCTGCCATAATAACTAACTTTTTTCTGTACCCCTAAACAACCTATCGCGTACCCCTAGGGGCACGCGTACCACAGATTGGGAATCGCTGTCATAATAAATAATTGCTCGTCATTTTTATGTTTCCGTCAATGGCCATTGTTTACAGATTTGACTGTAATTTAATACGTCTGTATTTGAAATATTCTTAAAAATTTACTCATTTTATATTATTAAGTAATATTAAGAATTGAATTTAATATAGTTAATATTCAATTCGAATCGATGTATGATTTTTAACATTTATAGGTGACGTTGCCAGGAACGAACTGATAGAAAAATACCAATACATACATTACACCTAGACATAGATGTGAAAAGAACGAAAAATTGTTCCGAAGTTTTTTCATTCACAGCAACAATCTTTAGACTTAGCTAGTAGAGTCGCGAAAACTCGACATTCCGTAAAATTTGTCGTGCCGTTCAAAAAAGTAATCTAATTTTTATGTTTATAACTTAACAAGAGGATCGAATAAGTTATTGTTCTTCAACGGCGACACTGATTAATAACATAAATTTCACGTGTTTACGAAAAATATAACCCTTTTTCCAGATGTTAAGCTTAGTTCACACTGAGCGCCGATTCGCTGGCGAAAGGGAAAAACAGAGCGAAACAGAGTTATTCGCTCTGTTTTTCGCTTTCGCGCTCAGTGTAAACTAAGCTTTACTACAGAACTCGAATTCGCAAACTCGAAAGTACTGTAGTCACTAAATAGCCAATATTTTTAAAATTAAAATTTTACAAATAGAAATAGTCACTGTTGGTGCGAAGTTAGTACGTATATGAATTTGCATATACAGTCGACCCCCCTATAAGATATAGATACGTTCCAATTTATTAGGAATCCGATTTCTTACAAATCGTTCCAATCACAGCCCGACACGTGTCAAGTTTACGGACTACGGCTGATTGAAAGGTTTTCTTCCATAAAATTAATCGATTCTACACTAATCCGACTCAACATTTCCAAAATACGTATATTTTTTCGTAGTTTTATAGGAATCGTAATTATAGGGACCGTAATTATAGGGGGGTCGACTGTATAATATCTTTACGAAACTTTGCTGTTTAGACTAGCATCATCGCTATATCGCAAAACTCGTCTTTCTGTAACTCGTCATCTTTTCTGTCCACATTAAGTCTAGTTTGCGAGTCTCTATTCTATTGGATTCTGAATATCGACAGGAATATATTTGTACCCGTCTGAGATCCTAAAATAAAAGTCGTTTTAACCAATGGTGGAATGGATAAAACCGCCAAATACTAGGTCGTGGTTTCGCGCCTTGACAACGGGCTGGACACGTGGAGTTTTCCTTGTGTAACATCTAAATAGGGGTCAGTTTCCCTTAGAAAATCCTTCCGGGAGGCATCGCATCTCCCTTTGTCAGATCGCCCACTGTCACGTTGCGGTATACAAATAAATTGTTTTAAACACTTTTGAAACTCCAGCCCAATCTCTTCAGTGACATTACATAGATACAAAAGTAGAACAAAAATATTAAAATGAACTTCAGGCCATATCCGTATATGCCCATGAGTTAATACGGTCCTGTCTGAAAATTTGAGGCCCTAGGCGAAAGTTTAGATTGACTTTGCTTAAATCCGTCATTAGTTTCCCTTATAAATACAATGAAATGTTCTTACACCTACCGTCGTTGCAGGATTTACTATTGTATAAGCTAAACAAGCTACAACCTCCATTCTCAAAGACAATTTATACATATTGACAATATCGACAGTTTATTCGACTGAGAAGGAAGGACATGATGTACGTTGTAGTGGAGGGCTAACCTGCTGTTTTCATTTCTTTAAAATCTTATGACCTTTTACGAAAATATTCTATTCATCTAATCAATAGAATAGAGTGGATGGAGAAATAATTCCAAGATCGATGCCAATTCGAAAAATAAATGATCAGTGTGAATTAATGAAAATCGAAAAATAAATTTAAATAAATAAACATTAAAATTTTGTTTTTATAATTATAAAACCCACAATTATTATAAATAAGGTAAGTAATATTTTCTTCAATGTCTCTGTACATCCACTTAAAGCCATTGAATTGTATAATTTCAATTGAAGCGAGAGTTAGGGGAAAAAAAATAAATCAAACAAAAGAATACAATTGGCATCATCCTCATTAGAAGCGTGTGAATCACTAAAAGGAATCAGTAAAAGAATGATGTATCTCTCTCTCTTTCTTTGTTATTTGCATTTCCGCCCTTTCTTGCCTTTAGCATAAACTGACAAATTTTTGTATGGCTGTCAATTCATTCGCCTTTGAAAATTGTTAGCCTTCTCTACCGTTTGTTTATCATTAGTGTTATAGCAAATAAAATTAACATCAGTACGAGTTAAACTTTAAAAAGTTTCTAACAATTTTTAAAATTATTTTTAAAATATTGCTGTAAATTAATTATATAAGTATTTAAATTCCTGTTGAAATTAATTAATAGACAGGTTTTAGCGTTATTCTCTGTCATAAACAATGATTCAGCAAAGGTGCAAGGGCGCTGTTTATCAAAATAGTTTTTCTTTGAAACTCGTTTATTTTTTTTAATATACAGTACTTTGTTTTTCTCGAGAACTAGATAATTTAGTGTTGGTTAATATATGATTATATTTGATAAATATTATAAGTTTTCAATGATTTAAATTAGAAATTGCACTTTCTAGATCAGAATGGGGAAGGCTTCTACGTTTGACTGTCATGAATTCTGAAAATTTAATTTTCTATGCTTTTTTCGACAAAGGTGTGTATCAAAATTTAATATATGAATATATAAATTATTTCTTAGTGCGTGTTTGCTAAATATAGGCCTACACTCACGCAGTACACACGCGAATTTAATTGTAAAATAAACATTTTTTAATAAAATTTATATCAAAATAAAATTTAAAAAAATAAATTTTAAATTAACATTAATATAATTTATAATGAATAACATGCGGTAAGTTAATTATCAATCTATTTAAGATACTTTGATATGTGTTAAAACTTAATCATGTAACAGTTAAATCTAATTATATATGCAAAATTTGTCGCAATTTTTAGTGTGTCTTGTATAGTTTTAATTAATTGTTTTGTATATTATATTATATTATATCCAGTTGCGTAAGTTGTAGGCTCGAGACAATGAATTTAAGCTAATTATATTTAAATTTAAGATGACAATTAACATTTAACATAAACAATCTTTATTTTTAGTCATTAGTTAAAAGTTTGGATTATTTGTATAATACATTTTATCTCAATTATCAATTGCATATTTTAGTTGGCAATGATTTTTTAATGTTTTAATTATTAAAAAAATAGAGTGCTAATACATTTTGTCTGCTAAATCCAATATCTAGAAGCATTAATTTGAAAATATCTTAACGTTTATTATTAATTTTTTTTATCCATTTTTTTAAATTCAAAGATGCATCACAGTTTTGCCCTGGCGCACGCTCCAGGGCTATTCCCTGACAGTTACTTATAATTTCCGGTTGTCTAACAATTTTTAAACATGTAGAATTATAAAAATCTGGCTGGTCCACAATTAAAATAACAAACAAGTTGTTTATAAACGATTTTAAAGATTAAAAAGGACAGAAGATAAACTGAGTGTATGAGAAATTTACGGATTTAACCATTTTTTATGTATGTAATTTAACTATATAGTTTGTATTTTGTTAGATGTATTTTAAAAAAATGCATACTGTACTAATCTAAAAAAAAGTTATATGTTTTTAATGTAGAAAATAAATTTTATTTGAAAAATTATTGATATTTCATACATTGACTTTTATTCTAATGAAAATATCAATGATTTTTGTTTAAGTAAACACATTCTAAATAATTTAATTTTATCAATAATAAATAAATAAATAAAAATAATTTTAAAATGGTTCTAAATCTTTTAAAATAATTTTTTGAATTAATAAACAAAGCCATTTTTCAGGAACATATTTTTTACACACAAAAATGAATACAAAATTACCTCCAAACAATGCCCATTTTTTGTTTCCGTCAGAGGTTTGGCTATAATTTTAATAGTCCTGAGTTTAGCCTTAATTGTTAGTTATTTTATTTTTATTTTGTAAAAGTATATATTTTTCCCCTCGCATAATTTAAAGAAATTTTTGAAAGACGTTACGCCTATTTATCATTTGAAGTACTGAAGATTTATTGTAGAATGTGGTGACAAAAACGAGGTAAATATAGGGCCTGTAACGGTTACACATTTACAATTAATTTTATTATATCACGTTGATTTCCTATAGGGAGAAATCATTCTAATAATCTGTTTGATATGAAAACGAAAGCATTATCACGTAGAATTTCTTCGTAACGCGTAAGAAATCTAAAGTATATAACTCATTTCTTATGCAAACTGTTTAGCTAGTGTAGATTTCTTATAGCTGACAAAATGAAGTACAGTACGTATCGATCTGTATGGCAATTTACCTAATAATCTGCATGTTAGGGAGTCCGAATTAGCACACCTGTAGTTACCCCTGTACCCATTGTGGATGTAGCCACAAGCTCTATGATGTTTGTATATGTATGCCTATGGGAGCATTTGTCATATTAAGATATTTTCCATCTATTTATTTGAGTTTTTTCTTAATTTATTTATTTATTTATAATACTAAGGATCCTGGCCCCTGTACTTTTATAAACAGGCCTACATATTCACAACGAAAATATTAACTGTTAATAATAATTTTAATCGTTCGAGCTTTTATTTTATTTGTGTAATTCCTAAAAAAAAAGTAGGTTTTTGTGTTAGACGACAGTTAACTTCCTTTAGTATAAAGCCCTATTTTTCTGTTTCTGTAGGCTGAGGCCTACAGAACTTACGATATTTTTCATGCATAAAAAACTGTAAATTAAGACGAAGTGCACTTTAAAATGTTTAGGACAATAAACTTATTTATCGGAACTCATTCACAAAATATCGTTTTACTTCCAGATCGTTTCTACTAATTTGATTATTTCAAATATTTGTTTCGAAAGTATTAATTGCAATATTAATTGATCTTACCAAACACGTGGCATTTATATATATTTACTTATTTATTTATTCAGAGTCTTTTAGAGAAATTTTAGAGTCTTTATTCAGAGAAGCCTAAGCTCACTTAACTTTTCTAAGGGCCCATCCAACAAACAAAAATCAATTAAAAATTATATAATAGTAATAAATGCCTTTCAGATCCTTTAAATGTGTGGCCCAGACCAAATGGTTCCCAGCGAGAAGACCTTTATATTTAGAAAATTGACATGAAATTTAATACGAAGACTTTCTAACAAATAATAACGTATTTTCAGAACCATTTGTAGTGACAGAAGTACTTTTTACTATCTAAAATTACTATTAGAAATAGAATTTACTATCTGTTAATGTAAATAAACAAAGTTTACAGCATACATTAGATTCCCTCTTTTACGATTCGATCGATTTTTGGAAAGCGTATTAAACGAGTCGTGGTAAAACGAACACCTATTTTTCTTAAGTTTAGCGCTCGATTTACGACGAATAAACAGACTTTCCGCTTTTAAAACTAGTAAATTTATCAGTCGTAAAAGCGAGATCTATTCTACTATACTTATTGTAATCGCTAAGAATTTAATAGTTTAATTAACTAGACAATAGAGTAGTGTTTTGTGTTGTATATCTTATAAGATAAAAGATAAAACTATAAAGGACAAGAGAAAGACACTTGATATTTGTTAATTTTTTTATGTTAAACAAGACTCAAAGATATATTAACGTGGAAGCAAAGATAAAGAATATAATATATTAATTGAAATTGTTCATCTGCATGTATTTTTGTTTTTAATGTTTTTAGCATTGTAAGCCCGAAGCTCCTGACAACTAACGGGAATAACATCGAACGACACTGTAATGAATAGCGTCGTGTTTGCAGAGCTTCTCCTGACAGAGAGACTTATAGGCAATTAATGGTCGTAAATTTCGCTTCTTTTGTCTCGGAATTTGGTTGTCAAGAGAAACGGTGGAGTGAATTTACTAAAGTTATTTTCACCAGTTTCCCTAAGGTGGAGTTTTCCGATTATTTTCGGGAAGATCTTAATTGTTTACATCGCTATTTCTGAATGAATCTTAATAATTATAATTGTTAATTAAGTCGATAGTTTAATTCAATTATAATGTGCTAATTATTCTCCGTGAGAAACTATTTTTAACTGTAAAAGTAGCATTAGTATTGTGAAAATTAAATTCCGTCTTTTAACGATATTTTCACCTTTAATTCGACTGGATATGATTTTTTTCTCGTTTATCTTCCCTCCTGGTGAAAATGGAAGATACAAAATACCAGTACTTTCAACTTAGTATCTAAAAAAGAGGAAAAAACGAGTATCCCTGTTCAAAACACGAATCAATTTCGATTAAATTTGTGTCCTTTTTCGGTTCACTGAGGCTAATCTTTTATGGAAGAGCGGACAAGATAACGTATTAAAGGTCACATTTGAAAGACAAAAGAATTTTTTGCACAAAATCTAAGTTGAAATTAAAATATGAAGAGCGAGAGAGATGAATTTTCGTTGTTTAAACTGAATATTCTAGGTTTATAAACATTAATAAAATATGCAGTTTTTTCGTTTCTCTTTTATATATTTTTAAACATATATTCGACTAGTGAATGATTACTGTTAAAAAAAATTTAAAAGAAATTAAATAATCGAGTTGGGTACCACCTGGCTCGGTGGTTCCTGTAACACTTAACTATTTTCACCCCGTATCAAATTACCTAACATAGTTATTACAAAGAAATCTTGTCGTCACACCATTCGATTGTTTATTCAAACGTTATTTAGTAGTTTTCAATTTGATGAATGCAGAGATTATTTAAGTGATGGCTCGATCGTGTTTTGTTGATGGACCGGCTAAGATGCGACTCAGGTCCTATTAATGATGGAGAATTGACAAGATTCGAGGCCATCGAGGGGATGATGCCGAGGCACGTGGCTGCAGGAGGCACTTCTAATTGGGAGATTGGGTGAACGCTTATATTTAGCTCTAGTTCGTCTCGACCAAAACAAAGAACACATCAAAGGCACCGACTTGACCTCCGACCGCAATTCCGGTCTATTTAACCTTGGTTTAAGCCAAAAGAATTTCCGCAAAACTTAAATAACGGTTAGAATTATACAATCGGCGAGTTTTTAAAACATTTGGTATTATAATCGAAACGTGCTTCACAGTTGGTGCCAATGAAAAACACAAGAATATAAACCGCATAGCATATAAATTTCAGTTAAGATGGATACTTTTGATTGGCCAGAAATATCATTTAAGCAGTGATTTAATAATCGAAAATAACAAAAAAAAGAACTTTCATTATGATATTTTCCATACAATATCTTTTCATCCGACCATAACCAGACTATATCTCCACACGGCACTATATTTAGTGGTACTACAGTAGCCCAAGTTGAGTGTGGCGAGGGTTCGCCTCTACCATTATGTCAACAAGAGAGAGCTTTGATCTTTACCGGCCTTAGCTCATTCCTTTTCTCCAATGAGAGACGCCACATACTGACAAACCATTGCACGGAGAATGGTGCGGTCAACAGGACTTACTCCTTAGGTGAGCGTAATATTCTTATATAATGATTATCATCATTAATTTTAGATCATCGCGGCGTTGATTAATATTATATATTGCTTATTATGTATAGTCGTAATTTCTTTTTTTGCAATTGAGTCTTACTCTGTTTAAGCGGGACGGATTTTTGGTTACTTTATCTTACTTGATAATCTTTCTTTTATGCAAATAGATATAAGCTTTATTATAATTTATTTATATTGTTTACTCGCTATTATACCGTAAGTTACGAGAAATTTAATGTGGAAGTATGATAAAATATTAGTCTTCAGAGTAATAATTATACGCGAAATTTATGTAAAAATATATAATAAAAGTGCCTAACGAATTAAAATGTAGATATATATCAAGACATAGGAAAAACATGCTGCGTAATTTATTAAAGTTATGTTGGATATTATAAGAAAAAAAACAATAATTGAAAATAAAGTTGTAACATGGTTTCATAATAAATTAGCATAAGTAAACTATAGAGCGAGTATTAAATTAGAAACTTTTCCTGGTTTGTCGGAACGGGAAAGATATTGAGAAGGATTTCGATAAAGGATACCGCCGCGCTTTAAAAAAAATAAAAAAAAAAAAGAAACCTTCGCATTCCAAGTATGTCTTTCTACTCTATAACTCGTAAAGCACAGCCCCCTCTTTCCTTTTGTGGACATTTATTTCCGCCACTCCATCCTTTGAAAGCAAAGGCGCCGTCACGTCCACTGATATTGTACCACGACGGTCTTTGCACGTGTAGAGCTCAACCCTCACACCATTAATGCAGTAGTATAATAACCTTTAATGATATCATACCTTGAAAAACAATCTGACGGTTTCTCTTCTCTTGTAGTCGCCGATTTTCGGAATTTCATTAAGAAAAATTTTTTCCAATTTTTACTTTATTAGCTTTTTTATCCCTCATCTGCTCTCTTTTATATCGTGCACTCGAGATATATCTCGGTTATTTCCCCTCGCTCTCGAGAACACTTAAGAAAAATTCTTGCGATTCTTGTAAACACCGATCTCAGTGATCTCCTCAGAATAGAAATGTCAACGTTCATCTCCAGCTTTCGAAACAATCCTTTTTCGTAAGAAGTACCGATTTGAATTCCTGTAGTCATCTAGGCTATTCCTGCTTTGTTTAGTAAAGTGTCACAACTTAAAAGTAAAGAAAAAAATCGTTCAATTGTCTTTTAACCTCAAACAGCTGGTAGAAATAATGGCGTTTCATCCATCACCGAAACCATCTTTTGTCGGGTGAAAGTAATCCACAAGCTATTCTCTCTTTCTCTCTTATCGCTGCCGCAAAAATTTTTAAAAATAACATCTCTGAATTTCCCATACTTAAAATTTCCTTATAACTTTTTACAAGAAAATGATAAAAAAGAAGAATAATGTTTCTAGTTAATTTGCATAAGTCTTAGATAAGATAAATGCCTTCCACTCCTTTAAATTTGTCACGTGAACGAAGCTGTGATCTTTCACAATGTGAAATGCCACGTTTAAATACCGTGCGTATTTAGTGCCAGAGATCGTCGCACAAATTAATACACAACGAGCTCTGGCAAGGGAAACAAACGGAAACAACGTTTATTTGTTTTCGTGCCAAATTAAAAATGGACCGAGATTCTTTCGGTTTCTTTTATCCGAAAGAACAATTCACATTATTTTTTTTTTCCTTTAAGAAAGTTGTAAACTATAATTTGCTATAAATTAGGAAACAGAAAATGGAAATTATTGTTTCGAATTGCGCTATAAACACTGTCAAACATTTCCCCATTTTCTTCCTACCGCCGAAGAAGATTTTTTAAAATTTATTTATAAAAAAAAACGTTAACGAAAAGAATATTCGTTCTTTTTCGTGTGTACGATGACAAGTTTAATTTCCGACGAATGTCATATCCCTGCTTTAGCAGTGAGGCTAACGCTCTTCGCCCTCACTTCAAAGAGTACCGACAGCGATGATGTCATTACCACGCCTCGGGAGTTCACGGCCCTCGCCGGCCAAATAGTTTGTATTTTTTTTTTCAACTTTCCTGTTATTTTTTCTTTTTCTTTTTTTTCCGGAAAAAAGCGGAATGTATACAATAATGTCTGTTTTGTGGATTAAATTGTAATCCCAACGAAATTCCTAGTGAAATCGAAATCGTGACTTCGTCAACTCTTCGAATCGGTCGTAAACACTATAAAAAACACCGAAACTCATTCGGTACTTAAGGAGATTTTTACTGGGAAACTCTCGAGTACTGGCACGTTAAACGATATAAAGTGTACGATGCCAAGGTACCCTAATTATGTAGCCACGTGCCCGTCAAAGGGGCCGCCTTCTTTTTATTTTTTTTCTCTTACCATTAAGGATTAACGCGATCTGCCTTTTCATACGTCTGTAGACGGCAGAACACGTCGGTGCACTGGTTCGGTGCTCGGACGTGACGTCACGCACGTATACTCTGCCGACCTCGGGCTACGAAAGGTTGAGTGAACCGGCATGGGTGAGTCGCTCGTCGTTTGATGTTAGCGAAAATACGATGAAAGGACGTTTAAAATTATATCTAGCAGTTGTATTAAGTTGATGATAATTGTCGAATCTATAACTACACCAACTTAATATAGGCCTAACATTTTAGAAAGGGTGCAGCTTTTATATAAGTCCGATAATTAATGTTCTTTGCTAAAGGGTTAGTTACATTTCTTGTTGTTGGATATATTTGGCACAAGTTTTATTGTTACAATTGCTAAATGTAGCAAGAAATCTCTTCATAAAGTATTTTAGCAACAGAACTTTCTTGATAAATTGTTAAATTATGTAATAACTTTATATTTTATTCTACGAAGTTTAAGCGGATAGATACATCTACCATCTTCTAAAGTTTAAGAATTTTTTAAAGTAACTTTCCTCCTATTTAATCGAATTTTTAAATTAAAAATGAAATCTAAGGAAAAAATCCTTGCTCTATTTTAATCTATATGCGAAATCGTAGCTCCAATACATTAATCTTTTAAATGGATCCTTCTTTTTCTATCCAATTAATTCTTGTTTTTCTGGGTTATACAAGTACTTCAAAGCATTTATCTTCTCTAATTAACTTTTTATGCCTAATAACAGTTATAAAGCGACTGTACTAGGAATATTATATTGTTAGGCAGCGAGGTAATTCCTGAAGAAGAAAAATGAGCAGAGATAAAATAATATGGAAATACTCGTATCCATTTATATTAAATTAATCTTTCAGCTTTAAAAACTATAAGAAGCGAATATTTCATTGGAAAAAGGGAAGAAAATGAATAAAAAACAATTTATTTTTGAATGTATATATTTAAAAATAACAGCAAAAATTGTTCATTATTTAGTATTTGTACTTTTTAAAGACGAAAAATAACGTTAGTTTACGATAGGTCTCAAACATTATGTTTAGGAACAAATCTGATTTTAGCCGCCTATTCATTTGTATTTCGTTACACCGGTGAAATTTTCTAATGATTAAGATTATATTCTTAATTAAGGATAAAAACAACTGAAAACAACAACAGAAAACGAAAAGTAAGAAAACAAATCGAACACATGTTGTTTTATAACAACATATAATGCTTTATAAAATAAATTTAACCACAGGCATGTGTCCTATTACCTTTAAGAAAGTAGGCCTATACAGAGCCGGATTAAGAGAGAAAATGCCTCTGTGCATGGAATTTAAAGTAGACCTCGCCCACCCCCTACAATTTTTAATTTTAAAAATAAGATATATTCCTTTTTCTTTATTTATTTGCTTCTCTCTTTTCCCTTTTTAAGGCTCGCCATTTTGTCCCCGATTACGCGCATTTTGATCCGTCCCCGGCCTAAATAATGTTTTTATAAAGACTTACAGTGACGCTTATTATAAACGTTTAAAACGTACATACAACGAAACATTGTTTAATTCTCCGTATTAGAATGAAAATACAGTAACTTCCTATCATTAATTAATGAAATAAAATGAGCTATTTTGTTTCGCTTTATGTGGTAATTAAAAAGTTAAAAGTATTGTAGGAGTTTTTAAAATACATCCCTCGCATTAAGGGTGAAGGAAGTTTCAGTGGAAAGAAAGCGCTGATGGTGTATTGTTTGGCGAGTTGCTTTACCGTTTCAGTTATCAATCAAAAGGATATCATTGTCTTTTGATATTTTTACTGCCAGTGATTTAGGAAATCTGTTGTGGAGTGTCATCATGGCTGTTAGGCTAATAGCCCGGTCAGTACTATACAACGCCGCGTGAAAGACAGCTCGTTAGCAGTTACACGTGTGCCGACGGCTAATTTACTTCGAACCGAGAAAGACTTTCCCTGTAACATTAAGTTGTATCGTTCAAACTACCTCGTATTCTGACAGATAATACTGTTTTGTTTTGGTCGTATCGATCTAGATTTGTATCGTAATAACTTCTAAACGTTCCTCTTATAGAACGTGTTCTGGATTTCAATCGAGTCACTTTGCATCCCGCCGAATAAACCACGACACGAGTTTTAAATCTTTAATCGAATTTTTATAATGGTAAATTATCGGGTAAATATGGGTGGAGGCTCGAGCTTTCTAATTAGGTTGTCTCTCGTCAGAAATGGCTTGTGACGAGAGGCAGAATTTAAAAATGCCTTTAATTAAAGGACCGGTGTACCGCTTATCGTCGACGGGTCGCGATCTCATTCGACCGGCCGCCAGTCCGACGTTTGGCGCTACGATCGCCACCAGACTGACTTTTCGCACGTGATTTACTACTACTACAACTACTACTGCGGTGAGGGAAAGCAAATGCAGGTGAGTAGCTAAACGGGTTCCATCGATTTTTATGAAAAAATGTTATCGTCGTTGTCGAAATTATTTAAAAAATTTTCTTCGATCATAAAAGCATAGAAATTAATCTAATATACATATATTTTTTTTTATATAGTTTAAGAATGCCGTTGATCCCGTTCGTCTTTGCGGTGTTGTTCGGAGTGAGTCGAACATCCGTCATCCCTTCTCAATCCGGATCTAATTTGACTCCAGAAAATTTTAAAAGAATTTTGGGACCAGAAGTTCTGTCCAATCTTCAAAACTTAGCTAAATTGGGGAATCCGGAAAACACGTTGGAAGTGATCCATGTCTTGACACAAGCTCTACAGGAATGCGTTTCGCGCGAAACGCCGAGCATGCGTAGAATGTATTTTTCTAACCGGACTGTCGTCTGCAACGATGGATCACCTGCCGGGTGACACATTATTTTATTTTCTTATAATTAATTTTTAATAATAACGAAAAGTTGTTATAATTTTATTACTTTTTAATATAAAATATTAATTTTTAATATATTCCGTTTTTATTATATATAAGATATTTAGTTAAATCGTCAAATTATAATATTTAGATGGAGCGGGGGGTTTTTTAACGTAATATTACTCTTATTCTTTCTTCTAAAAAATAAATAACTAATGGTAATTTTTAGACCCACGAAATCTTCCTTTGTTAATGAAACTTCCGCTAATAATTTAAGTTTTTCGTGATTTGTTTTAAACTCGTTAGTTTTGATTTTAAGACGCTAATTAGGTGGAAAAGAGTTGGTTTCCGGCGATAATCAGCCACTAATTGTCTATTTGGGGTTTCATCTAACAATGGAGAATGGGGAAAACGATTGTCTTCCAGTTTCCGTTAGAAGATAATATTTTCATTTGAATCTATCTCTCTCTTTCTCTCAGCAAATCTGTTTAACGCTACCATATTTTTCAGCTCAGTTCGGTTTGCGCATGGGATGAGGGTCGGGCTGATGGATGCATTGTTCGGTGTCTTTTGTAACTGTCCTGCTTTACCTGTCTTCAATGAGGCAGCCAGGTGGGAAGAACACACAAAGCACCCCCTGGTCGCCATTAATCCATCAAAGAAACCGCTGAGTTTCCCCACAGAGATTTTGAACGCGTGCTTTGCCGCTTTTTCGAATTCGAAAACATAAATTTATACATATATATTAAAATACGTCTTTATTATAGATATTATATTCGAAAATCTCACGGAAGTAAAAGGTGGATAGTGTTTTTAGAAGGTAAAATTTCGGTTATTGTTTATATAATTTATATATGATTTTAAACTCGTTTTTCATCTTTGGCAGGTGGTTGGTATTGTTTCGATTGGAAAAGTTGCGAGAATCGATGGCAACGAATGAGAAATTTAATGTCATCAAATACCTGGCCAGAAAATAGGAATGGTATATAATATACAAATAACATAGATATATATGAGAAATCTTTCCGCAATTTTTAATATTTAATCTTATTTAAAATTATCAACTTCTCTTTTATCACTTACGTTTAATTTTATAAATTAAAATTATTACTAATTTACATATCACCACAATTTCTAATCTGATAAAAATTATATAGTACAAATTAAACGTTAGAGAAATGAATTACCGTATTTACTCGATTACCCGGGATTCAAATAAATCTCCGTGAATAAAGGTGCTGTTAAAAATAAACCTCGGGTTGGAAAGCATGGACAACATGTTGAAGTACTGTACTTCAATATATGTGGTAATGTAGTAACAGATAAGCAGTTTAACTAAAGTTCGACCTCTTCAAATTATCTAGCGTTGGACAGCACTCTCTATTCCAAAGTAAACCTTGATTTCCACGAACCTTGCTTTAAATTTTATAAATTTTTTCATATTATATACTGTTTTCATGTTAATTTAAATGTATATACAGTAGCATAAAAGTCAGTTAACAAAAATGGCAAAAAGTTAGCCATATCAATTAACTGACTTTCGGGACGATTTATAATTTAAATAAATAAATAAATATATTTAAATAAAATTATAAATATTGTCAAATGTTGAGCATAAGAAAGTCGCAATCGAGTTCATAAGTCGAGAGCTTATCATCCGAAGAATAATTAAGAAAATTCTGGTTCAAACTTACCATCTCTTTTGGAAAGAGATGGTAAGATTGAACCAGATGATAGTCAAGATCTTGATTCCTACAGCGACACGTACAACGTAACGTAATACAACGTAATAACCGACTCTGAATCCGGTTAACCATGAAAACAGTAATTATTTTATATATATTTATAAATTAAGGTAATTAAGGTATTTCTTTCAATTTTTATTCCCTCGGCTCTTGTTGCAAGGTAATAAACTAGAGGGATAAGTTATTTTAAAAATAGACTTTCGGAGTTTAATCTTGGAAATACGGTAGTTGTGTGGTTGTTGGTGACATCTTTATGGAGCAAGGACCATTTTGGCCAAGATAAACCATGTAACGAAATGAATTAGAAGTTAGCATTATAAATCAAAAAAAGTTTTTTGCGTAGTATTGGAGTAATAAGCAAATTAAAATTATATATAAGTTAAATTATAATATATATTAATAATAATAATAATAAAACTAAATATATATTAAGATTATATGTATTTATATTAATTAACTTTATATTTTAGTTGGGGGTATTTTATCTGCCGATCCTGAAGAAAATCCTCATTGGTGGAATGCTAATCACGTGTAATTTTTAAAATTAAAATTAAAATTATGTTCAAAATTTATAACATGCTTACGAACTTATCAGTTATTAAACTTTTTTTTTTTTTTGTTTAGTTTCGTTCCATATTGCTCCAGTGATTCTTGGAGTGGAGCATCATCAGCCAAAGAAAAAGGTAAGAAAGACGTGATTTATTTTATCTAATTAAATTTAAGTGATAAGCATTAAGCATATATGTACTAATTCATTTTCATTTCATTAAATAGGCGAATTCTCCTTTCTTGGTTCTATAATTGTGGTCGAAGTCATAAAAGAGCTTATTAAAATGGGATTGTATAATGCCGAACGTTTACTTCTAGCGGGAAGCAGGTGATTTACAAACTGTTTAGGTGATTACGTAATTAAAACATGTTTAAAATGTAATAATTTTAGTGCTGGTGGTACGGGAGTTTTGGTTAATTTGGACCGCATAGCTGATTTCCTGAACGAACAGGGATCCAGAGTCAAAGTATATGGACTAGCAGATTCAGGGTGGTTCCTTGATAATGATCCTTATGAATCTGTCGAGTGCATTGAAGCTCATACCTGTGCTCCAGTCGAAGCTATTAAACAAGGCATTCGACTTTGGAATGGACAAGTACCGACAAGATGCAAAGCTTTGTATAATCCTACTGACGTCTGGCGTTGCTATTTCGGATATAGAATATATCCGACTCTTAAAGGTTTGTGTAATTAATATAGTTTTTTTTTAACTTTTTCTCCCCGTGGGCACTAAGAGGCCCTTTTTTCCCACTCATTGCCAGTTCGACCGGACTCATATTGGGGCGACCGGGTGGGGAGGGACGGGACCCGACATATCCGAAATGGACCACCCATGAAAAATTCCTAGGGTTTTCAACTGCCCGTATTCGGGTCCCACAAAATGGTAGGGTCACGTCTGAATTGTCTTGGCCATCCGGTCGTACCAATCAATATAGTTTTAATTTTATACTATATGCAGTAATTTTCAGTTCTTTAAAATTTCAGCTCCTTTATTTGTATTTCAATGGCTTTTTGATGAGGCTCAAATGACTGCCGATAACGTAGGTGCTCCTGTATCCAAAGCGCAATGGGACTACATTCATCATATGGGAAATGAGCTGAGGTCTTCTCTACAGAATGTCACGTAATTTCATATTTTATATTAATCAAAAACGTTTATTAATTCAGGCATCAATAATATACACGTATTTCAATTTTTAGGGCTGTTTTCGCTCCTTCTTGCATATCGCATATTGTATTAACAAAAAGGTAATGTTTCCTTAAAGTGTAGATTTATGTGCCCTAGAATTATTTTATAATGATTAACTCTTATAACTTTTATACATTTTAATGCAGAGATTGGCGTTATGTTAAAATAAATAAGAATACGTTACCAGAAGCTATACAATGTTGGGAAATTTTGGAAGAAGAACGAAGTAATAGAGAAAAAAATGAAGATGAAAAAGAAAATAGGTAAATATGTGGATTATGTAAATGTATTTATAACATTATTTTTGATAATTAAATGAATTTATTCGTTAAAAAATAATGTATTAATTAAACACACACACACACACACACACACATATATATATATATACACGTTTAATCGATTACAGAATGATATTTTAGATACCAATAATAATGTGTGACATTTTCAGTACTTCACAGTTTGCTGCGGCAATGCTAGCCGATATGCCTTATACTCAGACTTTACATATAGAAACCACGTCTTCGACTGAAATAACATCAACTGATAATATAATCAGTCGAGAAGAAAGAAGAAAACTTCGAAGAAAAGAAAGAAAAAGACGAAGACAAAATAAAAACAAAAAAAGGAAAAATAAAAATAGACATTCAGGTATATAAGAATATCAATTTTCATTTTATTTGCTTTTTATATAACTGTATTTATTTTTATATTATTTTATGTAATTTAATTTTCTTGTATTATATATTCAAATATATATAAACTAGTAAATTTATTTTGATATCAGATTCTAAGAAACGTCAGAAAAGGACGGTTTCCTTCGAAAACAATCATTCAGCATTGGCTCTTCATGACAATTATGAAGCGTGCACTCAGTGGTTTATGGATGAATGTTCGTGGCCGCAATGCAACAGAGATTGTCCCCGTCTTCATAATCCTTTTACAGGAGAAGAAATGGATTTTATAGAATTATTAAAATCGTTTGGGTTAGATATGGGAAGCGTAGCGAATGCTCTTGGCATAGATCTCACCACGCTCAACGAGATGGATCACGATACTCTATTGCAATTATTAACGCAACAAACAAATTAATGACAGCATTTTTCCTATAATACGACAATCAGTTATCAGTTTGGAAAATTGAACTAAATAATATCATAGTTCGAGTTATTTAATTTCTATTTTCGTACCTGACTTGGTATATATGTTAAGCATGTTTATTTCAGGGATACTTGTAAATATAATTTGTATACATTAAAAAAATCAAGCTAATATTTAAAACCGAAGTTCTTACTATGAGATTTTCAATTAAAATTAAATCGCGCAACATCTAATCTGTTTTAAATAGCGTAAGACGTTCTACTTTTACTCGGTGAAAATCTAATAGTTTGCAACTGTTTTAAGATATTGTCCCCAACTTTAACGTATGTCTATCATTTATGGATATCAGATCTAACCAACAAATTTTATGAATGGCTGAACGTAAGTTATAGGCTAAATGTTGCGGGATAATTTCTTCTGACGGACTAAATTTGTAGTTTATATGTATTTATAGGCATAATTTGAATGTATTCGAATTATTTGTAACATATTTTCTTTGATATGTTATTAAAAGTTATATTATTTGAATTATTTTTTTAAAACAAAACACACTGATTATTATAACAAAAAACTTTTTTTTTGAAAACAATAGTTTAGTATTGTATTTTAACTGAAAAATTCAGGCTGGACAGCTGAGGCCGTTAAGACGTTGGTCTACCGTTCTGCAATATATTGGTACAAGTCCGGGTGAAAGAAACATAATAAAAATAAATTGTTTCGGGGTTGGTATGTCCTAGATATGTCTGGTCTCGTCTCTTAATGTGTATCTCAGTGCATTAACTTTTTATTTTGTCCATGCAAAGCTCTAAGCTTTAAGTAAACATTGGAGTTTGGCGTAAACTTATTAGTGCTTTTTATTCCTTTAAATATATGCAGTATTACATTAATCAGTTTTATTTAAATGATTTATTAAGGAATTGAGAGCCATGTGCCAGGATTCACGAAAGCGTCGTATCGCAACTTACGACAAAATTTAGTTTTCACAAAACTTGTCGTAACCGAAAATGTCATAAATAGACGTCGTTATATACGACATAGAATAAGTTGTTGTAAGTCAAGACAATTCAAGATGGATGATGATTATTTAGCTTTCTTGATCGTAGAATACACAGTTCATCGAAAATTTACAGTTTATCTCCTCTGTCGATCGAAGGTATTTTGTTAACGGAATGAATTTGATACTATCGAATGTCGAGAGAAACGATTTTTAGTTTAACTTAAAAATTGAAACCACGTTTGGAAAGGCGTTCATGTATAGATAAAATAATGTTAAAATTATAAGCAGAATTGTTATAATCAATTATATAGAAATTTCACTAACGATTTTCTTTGAAACGCTTTTGTAATCTCTTCATTTACACCGGATTGTATCTATGCTTCTATGCACATTACATTACTAACACTATTCACTTCTTAAATTGATCTCCAACAATTACCTTTTCCGCGAGAAGTGATAATTGGATCTACCCTCCTTTCTATTATTATTATTTTTAACTCCATCTATCAACGCCTGTATTTCGGAAGAAGTAAAATGAAGCCTCATTTTACTCTCTTCCATTTACTGTATACCCGAAACTTACGTCGAAAACAACTTGCGCCTTTGAAAGTTCCTGGATTACATTCCTATTAACAGTATACTCTCGGAATCAGATCACTGATATTTTGTGGTTAATAGTAAATGAAGTTACAATGAGCTTTGTGAATTGTAGATACGATATGTCGTAAATTTGTCGTATTTTACGATGTCGTAAGAATACAACATTGTAACTAATGACATTTCTGATAATCCGAGCCTATGATTATTTCTAGAGTAAACAATACCCGCATAGTAATGAAATATACAGGTTAAGTAATACCTTGTGACTATTGAGTTTAAGACAATTCGGTAAAACACTCCTATTTATACATACACAAATTTTTTTCTATACACGAACAATATATTGAAAAAACTTTTAAATGTTATTAGATATATTTTAACTTTGATACTAATATTTAAATATAAATAAATAAATAATATATGTAAAATTAAAGAAATTTTGTCAAACAAATACTTTTTAAATACAGTAGAGCAGCGGTCCCCAACCTTTTTATCGCCGCGGACCGGTCAACGTTTGATAACTTTACCGCGGCCCACTGAGGGGGGACGTTGATTGTTCATATTTTACATTGATTTAATTTAATAATTTTAATTTAACTGTATTTAAACGTGCCTTCAAAATAAAATACAATTACACCAAAAAATGAATATAATGTGATTTAACATTTTAACTCACCAGAACGCTAAATCAATGAGAACCCTGAGCTTGTTTCTTTGCAACGAGACAGTTCCATCTGGGGGTAATAGAAGGCAATGACACTCGAAGTGTGTTTCTTATATCCAGTTTATTCCGCTGTTCCGTCGTCTATTAAAAGTCGCACAAACCGGAGACAAATGCACCATAGTAAATAAAATGGAAATAATTTAATGTTCTTTGGGCGGCCCGGGGGTTGGGGACCACTGCAGTAGAGCATCGATTATCCGACCCCCGATTAACCGTTACCTCGGTTAACCGACCGCATTCTAGTCGGCAAATTCAAATGTCCGCTAGTGATGCGGCGCTACAATATTTGGCTATGTCTTGGCTACTTTAATATTATTTTTACGTGTTTTAGCTGGCAACACTGGATCGACCATGAAAGGGAGCCAGTATTTAAACGAGGCTTAATTTTCTAATTTTTAACAATACAATAGCGACGATTATTATTATTCTTTTTTTTAAATTTGATAGGCTTAACATGGAGGAAAATTCAACGCGAAGTAGGTTAATAGCGATATACTGATATACTAATACAGTCGACCCCCTATAACACTGTTGATTTTTCCGTTTTATATGAATTCCATGTTGTACGAGTCACTTAGATTTTACAAATACGTGAGCTGTTCACAGCCCGGCACACATATTTGTAAAATCTAAGTGACTCGTACAACATGGAATTCATATAAAATTAAAACGAGAAAATCAACAGCGTTATGGGGGGTCGGCTGTATACTAATTACATGGGATATAATAATATACTACACTAATCGATTTTTTCATACTTTTCGGTTATCCGACTTTTCAATTATCCGACCAACCCCAGTCCCCAATTGGGTCGGATAATCGAGACTCTACTGTAATGGATTTTTTCATACTTTTCGGTTATCCGACTTTTCAATTATCCGACCAACCCCAGTCCCCAATTGAGTTGGATAATCGATGCTCTACTGTATTCATTACCAAATTGTACTATATTAGATACAGTACAATTTGGTAATGAATATTTAATAGTTATAAATATAGTGCAATAGTTATAAAAGAAAATAATAAATAAATAACACATGGAAGACCGAGGCGGAGACTGTCCAAATGACAGGTATGTAGTCATCAAAATATATATAGACTAGATATGCACGTGCAGATATTTGAAAATATATCTTTCAGTTCCTGAAGCCCAGGCTGACAATTCCTGAAGCTAGTAAGTATGCTGTAGTTGACTTTATTTTGAAGCCTTTATGACAGTGTTTCTCAACCTATAGATGTCTGAAAAAGTTATATAGGCCTCAATTTTTTAAACCTGTGTGGTTATTATCAACATTTGGGACATATTGTTCCATTTATAACATAATAAATCTAAAATTATGTTTTAAATACACATGGAAATAATTAATTAAATTGGAAGTAAACTATTAAAAGTGAATCATATTTAACAAAGTTTTAATCTTTATTAATTTATGTCTCCTTGCAGACCACCTATTCCAACATTGCATACTAGATGTGGTCCACGGACCACAGATTGAAAAACACTGCTTTAGGATATTTCACAGAATGCTCAAATAGTTTTATTGGCTTTTAGGACTCGATGTAATTATTCAGCGCCAGTCAATGTTGCAGCAGAAACATCAACATTTCATGGGAGTACAGTACAAGAGTACTCCATGGGGATGTGTCTACATACTCTTGATACCAGAATGTTCCAGACAATAAACAAGATGACTTCTATGCATCTGAAAAGAGGACATCTTCTTCATTGTCAGAGCGTTGTGATGGTGCATCAACATCCACCGGTGACAGTGTCAGATCAATACAACTGACAAATATAAAAAGAAAAAAAGAAGGGTGACATAAACTGCCAGTGAACTGGAGACGAGTATATTAAATACTTTATCTGCTGTTCAGCCATTTTTGAACAACATTCAGCAGCAACAACAGAATCGCACCAGTTTATGCAAATATAACCGAAATAATGAAGAAAATGAATGCAATGAAAAAAATTTTAAATGTCGATTCTGGAATTTTTAGCAAAATATGAATAAATTTGAACATTCCAAGAACTGCTGTTTTGTTTGATTTGGTAAAACACATTCATGAATATACAGTATTTAAATATAAGAATATATATCAGACTGTGAATAATCTATTATCATAATTTGACAATTTTAAAAATTATTCAACATACATCAGTTAAACTCAAACAAATAACTGAACTATTATTAGTATCTATGTTACCGCTAAAGCTCGAAAGTCGTTAATGTGTACATTACCTAGCTAATCTGCAGATTAACTTGGGTGATCCGTTAAAGTTGTGAAAATTGTTCCATTTCTCAAATTACCTAGATAATGTGCAGAGTATCTAGGTAATCCGCACATTACCTACCAGGCACTCGGTAAAGCGAAAATAAGATCTTTGCCGCAAATAGGTGTGCTTATCGCAAAAACCAATTGCTATGAAATTCAAAGTGTCACCAATCTTTAGACAGCACTAATAAGTAAGCACAATTGGATAATGTTACCTATGATGAGTAAAATGGCTGCTCGTCTCTGACGCACGTTCAAACCTAACCTAACCTATTCTAATAATTTGGTTGGTAATAATTATGATAATTTATTAGACTAGGTTAGGTTACAACGTGCGTCCCCACTGTTTCCTTTCTTCTGTTTGCTGGAATCAGAGACGAGCCGCCATTTTACTCACCAAAGGTAACATTAACTGCACAATTATATCATGCGATCACCAGAAAAAGTATGATAACTTCATTATTTTTCGTCTCCGGTCCAAAAGTAGGGTATCGTTGAAGTCGTCTCGGTCCCCTCAGTTCAGATAGATACTCAAAGTCCCGAAATTCCATAGATGGTTATCTATATAATAATTTCTCTAATTGTATTAATATTTTAAACCGTTTGATTTTTTTGTATTTTTGAATTGGTTGATGATTGATTCTATCAACTAATTTGTCGATTGTTTGATTGTATTAACTTGATTCTTTAGATATCGAAAATTAAATAAAGACCAACCGTATGCCGAAAATCTATCGGGCTAGTTTAAGGCTAATTACTAAATGAATTACGTAACCAATTTGGCTCTAGAGGTAAGCGTTAGGCGCCATCTCTTATTAACATTAATAATTATAAATAAATTAATTAACTTAAATAATTTAGAACCGCTGGGAGAATAATTAAATAAATTAAATAAAGAACATTATGTTAATTTAAGCGTACAGAAACGTTGCAGTTGTTCCAGCAAAGATCTTATTTTCACTTTACCGAGTGCCTAGTAGGTAATTTGCAGATTACCTACGTAGATAATCTGCACATTACCTAGGTAATTTGAGAAATAGAACAATTTTAGCAACTTTAATGGACCACCCTAGTTAATCTGCAGATTAGCTAGGTAATGTACGCATTAACGACTTTCGAGCTTTAGCGGTAACATCTATATTCAAATAAATTTTTATAGATTTTTTTTAGTTCCAAAAAACAACAATTATGAGTTATTCAATATGTTCAATTCATAAAACGTTTACATATTGAGCAAAATATATTAGCTTAGCTATAACTCTTTATTGCCTCACTGGACTTTCTAGTCCCACTATCTTTGAATTTTTTTATTTCATTGTGTATAGATTATAGCTTACTAGAACTTACATTTTTTTTTTTATTGTATAAAGTGTTCTCTTTCTCCTCTATAGGGTGGTAACTTTCAAACTGTTTCTGTTTTAGTTTTGTCGAAAAAAGTTTCACATCATGTGTTGTTTGAATGGTAGTAGCTGATATTGCTTTCTTTGTTGCCAAATTTTACTTATTGTTTCCAAGTTAACTGTCTTTGTATTTTTTTTAATATATATTCTAGATATGTGTAGTTTGATTTCAATGTATTATGTTTTTAGAATTAATGATATGCAAGCTGTATGAGATCAAAATATGTTTGGGACTTATGAGTCCCATCAGGCCTGAGAGTATCATTTTTGTAAATGTTAAAAATTTGTATTTTCTACATTGTGCTGTACAGATTTATGAATTTGTTTAACATTTTAATAGTTAATATGGATAGAAGGCATATATGAATAAATAGATAATCTTTTATCAAAAGAATTTCCATCTGATATTGAAACACATCAAAACCACATTCAACATGCACATTATGTAAAGTTTTCTTGTGTGTAAATGGGGAAAAAATTGCTTTTTACATTTTCACAAATCATAAGTTATTAAACGAATCAATTTTATTTCAGTTTTGTCATGCATTTTAATTTTTTTTTTCAAATTTTGACCTTATTATATTGTAAAAATTATCAAATACTTAATATACATAATTATGCATTTAATCTGCCAATTTCGCTGATAAAAGTTCTTTATATAAAACAAAAATATTTTATTTTTATAATATTAAACAAGAAAAAAAATTGTTAAGTCCAAATGTGCTCTAAAGCCTGACGGGACTAATAAGTCCCATAATTAAAAAATTTTTAATTTACATTTTAATTTTTTTTATTTACTTATCTGTTAATAAACACCTCTTCTGATGATAAAATGAGAAATATAAAATAATTTTTTATCTAAAAATAAAAATTCAGGCAATAAAGTGATAAAGTATATAGATTAGTTGTAAATTTTCTAAAGCATACTGATTAATATAATAGTTACATCTTGAACCTAACCAATAAGTATTACTAGATCAAACATATTTGTTGGTCAAATTTGACCAATATAATTTATCCTATAAAAAAATCATTGAAAAAAAATCTATCAAACAAACATAAATTCTATGTACCTCAGATATTTACAGGTTATTTACATAAAATTCTCTGTCAATGTTAAATTAACAAATAAAACGCAAACAAAATACAAATAGAAAAAAAGGAAACTGACGAGATGAGACAAATTGGCCGCGAATAATTATATTGTGAATTTGATGTGAATAATTAATTGGACGACGATCAGATTCAGACAATCGATCGATGCAAGAGAAAAAGAAATATGCTGTAGGAAAGGCGTAAAGCGCGTTGGTCGTCCGATACTGCGATGTTTCCTGCTTTTCACGCGAATATCGGAAATATGGAGACCCGCGTTGTGTTTTTATTAACCAAAAGAGAAACGAAGACAACGGGCCAGTGGTGTAACGGATTAACGCGTCTGACTTCGAATCAGAAGATTCCAGGTTCGAATCCTGGCTGGCTCGGCTTGAATGTTATTTTTGTTTCGGAATACTAGGATTTTATTTTCTCTAAAATCGATGGAATATAAGACACTTGATGACTTAGTCGGTGGTCGAAAAATGTTACTGTTGACTGCCACGTAAGAGAAACGAATTCGTCGAAGAAATTTATATTTCGAGCCACTTCAACTCTCGCATATCGAAAAACTTTCTTCAAAGCATCAGCTTCCGTTTTTTTAAACAAATATTTTGCGATAGATTAACGTAGATTTCAAAATAAAACAAAAGACAGCAGCACCCGGTGTTCCGAGGTCGTATCCGTTCTGCGTACTAACCGGGCCCGACGTCGTTTCACTTCGGTGATCGAACGGGAACCGGTGTTTTCGGCGTAGTATGGCCGCTGCCACAACGTGAACTTTGTGTCTCTCTCAACTACATTGCGCACTACTGCGGTCGATTCCGCTAAGCCGCGTGGCAAATGGCTTATTCATTGCGCTATCTGAATTATGAAGAATCAAGCGAAAAAGAACGGTCGGAACATCTACAGTTGACAGGAGATTTTAAAAAATCCATTAAAAGATTCTGTACAGTTGACAGGAGATTTTAAAAAATCCATTAAAAGATTCTGTACAGTTGACAGGAGATTTTAAAAAATCCATTAAAATATTTGATATATTTATTCTGCTCTCCCGGGAATCTTATATTACTTACGGATTTCAATGTTAAACCAGTGATATTACGATTTAGAATGTCCCATCTATAAGGAGATGCAGAAAGAAACGTTAACTGTTACTTTGGCAGCATCATTTACAACCAAATTTAATGAATGAGACGCACAATGTACAAAAAAGCTCTAGAATTTATTTTCCTTAAATCTATGATTTATGTATCCGTTGTCATAAAAATTCGTCTTTCCACTTCTTTCCCAAGACTACAAATATTCAAGTACAAAGTATCCGTTTTCGACTTATTTCTACTTAAGAAGTAAAGTAGTTAAATAATTAAGCGATTAAATAAAACCCCGCTGAAGGAGCCAGAATATTACTTAAACAAAAGCTTAAAGGTCAAGAGGTTAGGGAGATAGAGCAGGTGTCATGTGTCATATTTCAACAGGGTCGGAGTTAATGAAGATTTTACTCGTTACTAGCATTTATAATTTTTTTTTCCATACCCTTAAAATTAAACCTTTTGCCATTTTATAATAATTAAAAATATGAAAGGTTTATATAACGAAATCTCATAACAGATGGCGTCACACACAATGGTTTTATTTATTATAATATAATTAAAAACATAAAAGTTATTTTCTAAATAAAATTTACAACAGCCGAGAAAGTACCGCAACTCGTTGTTATTGATAGATGATTTTTTATAAAACATCTATCAATTATATAAAACAGTTACATTTCTCGAAACGAACGATCTTTTTCTCAGTTTGAATATACAGTAGAGCGTCGATTATCCGAAAGTCAATCATCCGAAACGTCAATCATCAGAAAGAATTCCAGTCAGCAAATTTAAATTTTCGCAAGTGCTGTGGCGTTGCAATCTTTGGCTATGTCTTGGGCTATGAAGATCGCTAAAGACGATCGAAAACGTTTTTACGATATTAAATTATTTGCTGGAATATGTAAAAAGGTAATAATTTTGATTAATTCTTTCTAGTTCCAGTACAAGTTAATATTTTTTTATTGTACTCAAACATTTTACGTTTTTGATACTAAATTAACTTCTGAAGTATAATTTTTTATTGTTTTTATATTTATCAATATATTTATTTTGTTTGTACAAATAAAGAAATCATTTTTAACGATACAATAGTCAAATAACGTAACCAACACCTTGTTGCTTGCTGAGGGAGTTTTATTAAAATCGAACGTTTTCGATCCACTTAACGGATCATCATCAGGCTAGAATATACGAAAATGGAATACATCAAAATGGAACAATAAGTTCAAAAATATCAATAAACTGATAACATATCAATTAATAAAAATAAAAAATAAAAAAATAATAAATAAAAAATAATAAATTGTAAACGATACCAAATAATAAATAATATACTACAACGACTACACATTAATACTAAGTTTCCTTTAAATCAAATAATTATCATATTTCAGTTGTTGCGCTACTTGTAAGCTTCTTAACGGCAAATTTCCAAGCCGAGGGAAGACCCTCCGCATCCCTAGCATTAATGCAACTGTCCTTAAGTTTGCTCCTATATATCTCCATTTTTTCGGCCGTCTTCGCCAAAGTTGGTGAGTGTACTTGTCTCACGACTTCCGCTTCCTCCCATCCAATCAGGGATCCTTGGGCCTGCGCCATCTGGGCCAAAATTGTTGTATTAGACCCTTTTCTAGCATCATACTTATGTTCTCTAATCCGTACCCCGAGGCTTCTGGTGGTAACTCCTATGTAATCTTTTTTTATTCCTAATAGCTGGTTCTCGTAGGGAATCTTGTAAACACCTGCCTTATCTTCTTTTTTAACAACCCCTTTATAATACAACAATTTTGGCCCAGATGGCGCAGGCCCAAGGATCCCTGATTGGATGGGAGGAAGCGGAAGTCGTGAGACAAGTACACTCACCAACTTTGGCGAAGACGGCCGAAAAAATGGAGATATATAGGAGCAAACTTAAGGACAGTTGCATTAATGCTAGGGATGCGGAGGGTCTTCCCTCGGCTTGGAAATTTGCCGTTAAGAAGCTTACAAGTAGCGCAACAACTGAAATATGATAATTATTTGATTTAAAGGAAACTTAGTATTAATGTGTAGTCGTTGTAGTATATTATTTATTATTTGGTATCGTTTACAATTTATTATTTTTTATTTATTTTTTTTATTTTTTATTTTTATTAATTGATATGTTATCAGTTTATTGATATTTTGAATTTTTGAACTTATTATTCCATTTATGATGTATTCCATTTTCGTATATTCTTGCCTGATGATGATCCGTTAAGTGGATCGAAAACGTTCGATTTTAATAAAACTCCCTCAGCAAGCAACAAGGTGTTGGTTACGTTATTTGTTTATTTTTGCTGGGTACGATTGTATTCGATACAATAGTCACAATTATTATTTTAAAAAGTTTACGTTAGGCTTAACATCGACAAAAATTCAACGCGAAGCGACACACAACAGAGAAAAATTTCAACATGGGATAGGTTAATATATTTTTTCGTACATAACCGGTTATCCGAAATATCGATTTTTTTTCCGAACAACCCCAGTCCCCAATTGATTCGGATAGTCGATGCTCTACTGTAGAAAGATCTATATTTGATTGTTTCGTGTAAAATACTGTACAATACATACACGATATTTTCTATTGGTCAGGTAAATTCATAAAATTCGCTTATTATACAAGTTACTTTAATTAACGTTTACATAACTAAACTATAACACGCATATTTATTATAACCAACGTCCGATGACGTCAGGTAAGCGCTCTTAAAATGGCATCAGATAAACGAAATATTACGAAATTTAGTAAAACTTGCTCTGTTGGTCAATCGGAAAACACTGGACGAACGAGAGGAAGGATTTCTTCTAGTATTGGGGTTGGCGAGGTTCGATTATAGAAAATCTCGCTTCTAACCCCTTGTGCAGAATGGAAACCGTAGGAGGAGGATGGTAGGGAGTCTCTTCATCCCAATTCGTCATCACTCGGGGGATACAAATGTAAAAAATGCGGATATTTAGCCTTAAAATTCAAAAAGAATCCATGACGTCAATCGCATTCGAATTCGTTACGCGCTTTCTAATCTCGCAACAATTGCCGTTTCTATGGAAACGCGTATTGTTGCAACACGATTTTGCGTTACTTTGCACGTTTTTCGCTTGCCGAACGGACGAGTGCGCTCTTTGCTCTGGTTTTTGCTGTTTTCTGCCTTTTTTCAGTGTTCTTTGCTTCCCGAACGTGGTTTTAAGAAGACTTGTGGACGCCGACATTACACCAAGTAAGATTTTAATTAGAAATTAGCTAGCGTTAAGATTTTATTTTCGTTTCGTTTAGTGCAACTTTCGGAGACGACATCGGCTGACTAGGACTTTGCATATTTGCGTTTAAATCTGCGGTCGCTTGTGTTTTTCGTTTGAATTACCATCCGAAACGACTTTTAAACGACGGACGCAAAGGATTAAGTATTTGCTCATTAATTAATTACGAAAATAAATCAATTTAGATTTATATTTTATAAACACGGTCAAAGAATAAGGATCTTATATATAGAAATTCAATTAAAACGTATTTAATACTAACTCTAAATACAAATTGCATCGCGTAATCATAAAACATACACTCGAAACCTGATGGGATGAAGGTTAAACAGAGATCGTAATCTGAAGCAAGAGATGTTCCTTCGACACATCCGGGACGTCAAAAATTTCGCCCTTTCACCTCCGACTTCTCCATTGAATCTATGTATTAGTTACAACGCTTTTCAATGGCTTACTTTGCGAGAATGAAATTGTCTGTAGAGCTAAAACACATCTAATACACTTAGCAGTTATCTATACAGGCTGGACACAAACAATTCTTTTCCTTAAGCTGTTTGTCTCTTTCCACAATGTGGTCATTTCTGAGTGCAGTCCATCTTCCACACTTACGTAACCCTCTGCAAATGCTTTGTGCCACTTAAACGTTCGTGTCCGGGCTGCGGACACGCGTTGTGTTTTCGTCGACTCTCGTACGAAATTTCTTTGAACGAAACTCCATTAAGTGTCGTCGTTGCGTTTAGGTGACGGACCGCTTGTACGCACATTAGGGTAAATTGCTGTAGAACGAAACACTTGTCACGACTTGGGCTCGCGATCGAATACGAATGCCTTTTCCGCATGGCTGCGCTACGTGCTGCGTAGCTTTACTTCTCTGTCCTACAAATACAAATTGCACGTAAGAGAGTTTCTTCGTTCCGGGTCGGTCTGTGTCTTTTGTCGTCTCTACTGCAAATGGAGTTCGTATGTTCTAGCAATTTCCGGTAGTACTGTATCTAACGCCAGCTCTGTCGTGAGTA